GGTGGGGTGAGCCCTTCTTTCCCATTCCACCCCTCACGCCTGCCCCTCCTGAAGGGGTGCCATCTCCTCTGCTCTGAGCCCCATGAAAAGGGGATGAGATGACCTGGCTTCCACCAGGCGGCTGTGCCGTGGCAACAGGAGTTGTCCCTCAGAGGACCACCGAGATCCCTGCAGCCTGGAGGTGGGCTTTCTTCAGTCTGAAGACAAGAAGGTTGCCTGATGGGTGGCTGAAGGTGAAGCCAGACCCTCTGCGGTGGTGCACAAAGAATAGCAACAGATCAAGCAAAGGAGTTAGGCAAGTGTTCCTTTGGAGAAGCAGGAGACTGCAGCTCTGCGAGGAAGAAGTGCTGGCCTTCAGCATGAAGGTCCCTTCTAGGTGCCTCAAGAGGAGCTCTTTTCAAGGTTGGGCAGTAAGCAATTTAAAAAAACCCAAAACAATAAACCAAGAAAATAACAGTAAAAATGCTTTCCTCCTCTCTTGTTTGGTGCTTTGGCGACTGCATCTGGACTCCTCTGTCGCCTCCTGGTCTCCCCAGTCCAGGAAAGACACTGATGTGTGGGGTGTGGGCCCAGCCCAGGGCCTTTGAGATGGTGAGGGGCCAGGGCACACGGCACACGAGGGCAGGCTGAGGGTGGTGAGACACTGGAGCAGGTTGCCCAGAGAAGGTGTGGATGCCCCATCCCTGGAAGTGTTCCAGGCCAGGCTGGCTGGGGCTTTGGGCAACCTGATCTAGTGAAAGATACCTGCCAGCCTTATCTCTGTGCCTGGGAAGATCATGGGACAGATCCTCCTAGAAGGTATGTTAAGGCACATGGAGGACAGGGAGGTGATTTGAGAGAGCCAGCATGGCTTCACCAAGGGCAAGTCTTGCCTGACCAACCTAGTGGCCTTCTATGATGGAGTGACTACATCAGTGGACAAGGGAAGAGCTGCAGATGTCATCTATCTGGACTTCTGTAAGGCCTTTGACATGGTGCCCCTCAACCTCCTTCTCTCTCAATTGGAGAGATATGGATTTGATGGATGGACTGTTTGGTGGATAAGGAATTGGCTGGATGGTTGCACTGAGAGCAGTGGTCAACAGCTCGGTTTCTGGATGGAGATCAGTGATGAGTGGTGTCCGTCAGGGGTCTGTATTGGGACAAGTACTGTTTAATACCTTCATCAGTGACATAGACAGTGGGATCGAGCGCACCCTCAGCAAGTCTGCAGAGGACTCCAAGCTGAGTGGTGCAGTTGACACACCTGAGAGACAGGATGCTATTCAGAGGGACCTGGACAAGCTGGGGAAGTGGGCCCATGTGGACCGATGTGAGCCTTGTGAGGTTCAACAAGGGCAAGTGCAAGGCCCTGCACCTGGGTCAGGGCAACCCTTGGTATCAATACAGGGTGGGGGATGAAGATGAAGGGATTGAGAGCAGCCCTGTGGAGAAGGACTTGAGGGTACTGGTGGATGAAAAACTGGACATGAGGTGGCAATGTGCACTCGCAGCCCAGAAAGCCAACAGTATCCTGGGTTGCATCAAAAGAAGTGTGGCCAACAGGTTGAGGGAGGTGATTCTGCCCCTCTACTCTGTTCTGATGAGACCCCACCTGCAGGACTCTATCCAGCTCTGGAGTCCTCGGTACAGGAAAGACATGAACCTGTTGGAGCAGGTACAGAGCAAGGCCACAAAAATGAGCAGAGGGCTGGAACACCTTTCCTATGAGCGCAGGCTGATAGGGTTGGGGTTGTTCAGCCTGGAGAAGAGGAGGCTCTGGGGAGACCTTATTGTGGCCTTTCAATACTTAAAGGGGGCTTATAAGAAAGATGGGGACAGACTTTTTAGTAGGGTCTGTAGAAATAGGACAAAGGGTAATGTTTTTAATCTAAAAGAGGGTAGATTCAGACTGGATACAAGGAAGAACTTTTTTATGATGGGGGAAGTAAAACACTGGAACAGGTTGCCTAGAGGTTTGTTCCATCCCTGGAAACATTCAAGGTCAGGTTGGATGGGGCTCTGAGCAACCTGATCTAGCTGAAGATGTCCCTGCTTATTGCAGGGGGGTTGGACTAGGTGACCTTTAAAGGTCTCTTCCAACCAAAACCATCCTATGATTCAATGAAGTTCATGGAAAAAAAAAGATTTCAGTGATACTGAGCACAAAGGCCGTGCCTCTGGCATGAATCACTAAAAGGAGAGGTACATGTTTATACTGTTCTTATGCTCTTCCATATGTATTCTTTCTTGATACCTCTTTGAGATTGGCTATTGGGTTGGATAACTCTCTGGTTGATTAAATAAGGCTACTCTTACATTCTTATGCTGGACAGGGCAAAAATCAACAGGGTTGCATTGCAGCGAGGAAAACTGGAGTTGTGCTTTCGGAAAAATGTTATAGCGGCTGGCGTGTGAATTGATGGAGTAAATTCCCTGGGAAAGTTGTGGAGTCCCTATCATTAAAGACTTTAAAGAATAGTTGAGACAGGCTAATTCAATGATGCCTCTTTCTGTCCTTGTTCTCTTATAATTGTACATAAATGTTTTGCCAACAAATCAGTATCAGGATTAACATCTGGGAATTCCAGCTCTTCAGATTGTTTGATTGTTCATATATGTTTTTGAAACTAGAAGGCTTGAAAATTTGCCCCTCCTAGTAACTGAGCCTCAATTTTGAGATTTGTGAAAACTTTGTTATTCTATTTTCTTGGTTTCATTTCTTTTGCATTTTGTACAATATAAAATAATCTAGTGAAGGTCATCCATACAAAGCTTTATTCTTTTATCAAAACTAGGCAGTACCTTTCACTTATTCCAGTACGTAAAGGGGGCCTACAAGAAAGCTGGAGAGGGACTTTTTACAAGGGCATCTAGTGATAGGACAAGGGGTAATGGCTTTAAACTGAAAGAGGGTAGATTTAGATTAGATGTAAGGAAGAAATTCTTGACTGTGGGGGTGGTGAGGCACTGGAACAGGTTGCCCAGAGAGGTTGTGGATGCCCCGTCCCTGGCAGTGTTCAAAGGCAGGTTGGATGGGGCTTTGAGCAAGCTGGTCTAGTGGAAGGTGTCCCTGCCCATTGCAGGGGGGGTGGAACAAGATGGTCTTTAAGGTCCCTTCTGACCCAACCCATTCTATGATTCTATGATAATTAAGCTTGGATTTCCAGGGTAGCAAGGTTCATAGAGGACCCTGCCTGAACCTTTGAGGATTGCTCATTGAAATCTCTATACAGAATAATAACGTAGCCTTTCTCTGTTGTGTAATAGTGTGGGCATAGCATATTGCAAGAATGCCTTTTCTAAAGAGCAGACTCAATCCATATTTACATCAAAAGCCTTTATTTGTTAAGTAAAGAAAATTACACATCCTTTTGCAGTAAAAGATCTCAAAGCATTCCAAAGGTGGCTAATACCATTTTGTATTTCTGTGTTTGTAATTTTACAGATGAGGAATAAAAGGCCAAATAGTTGAATCTGCCTTTGACCCATAGTCACACAGGAAATCAGTGCCAGCCCACCTTACTTTCAGTGTGAGGATGTGTTTAACTGTGCTTCCTATAGCTTCTGTAATACAGAAGCAATGCTATAGTCATTAAGGCTGCTTAGAACGATACAGTTTCTTTTGCTAAAAGCCCAGCAGCACTGTTGCAACTCAGCAGTCCATACACTCTTAGTTGTATTCTGTAACTCGTTTTCAAAATCATTACCTGATATTTGGCTGTTCTGTTGAAGCTATTTTTAAACAGAACAATAGCTCTTTCAGAGTAAAGAACAAAATGGGCTTTCTGTAGAAACAGCTGTGGATTGCTTTTCAAGCACCATTTTTTTGTTGTTTTTTTTTGTCTTTGTTATTAAACAAAAATCCAGCTGTCATTAAAATCCAAAACCTACAGCCAGTACCTGTATTTCACAAGTAAAAGTCTAGGGGTTTTTTTTTGCTTGTTTGTTTTAATATTATTTTTGAAACTAAAATGTGTTTGTATTTACCTGGAGTTTTTCTGTAACTCACAAAACCAGGACTGACTGGTGGTGTTCCCTCACTTGTGCTATTGTGCTCATCAGGGCCATCTTTTCTGTACAGGTATTTTGCTGGAGTCAGAGGATAGGATGAGAAAGATTCCACTATGAGCAATGAAAGTGATTTGAAGTATCGAGCAAATGCCTCACAACTAGATTCTGAAAGAGGACTAATAAAAAAGGAAACAGAGTGATATATAAAACATTTAAAAATAGTGTATGATACAGAACAGATCATCTAGGAACATTCCTTCTGACACACAAGCAGTGATATGCTGAAAAACATTGGAAGGTGGCAAATTGAAGCTGATAAAAATGAATATTTAGCTGCAGCTAATGTATCAGCAGGATCAAAAGTGGCGTGTACAGCTATATGGGTAATAAAAATCTGGACATTTCATGGAAATAGTCTAGAAGTTCAATGATTAGGAATAGCCTTGATGTAATGTACAAGAACTATATGTTAAAAATAAACCATGTTTGTGAGGATGTATACTCTTATGCTTTGTGCTATAATAAACCTCTCCTGTTAAAACTTCATAGATAATTTCTCTGGAAGCATGTGATTTTATAGTGCTTACAAGAAGGCTTCCTACAGTGAGCTTCAGAGTAGTGAAGGCTGTCAGATAGTGTGTATTGGACAGGAAGGACTTCTGATTTGATTTCTATGGCACTGAAGGAGAATATATAATTTTGATAGGAAGTGAAAGTCAGAGATTGATTATTATTTTTTTTAATTAACCTTAGTCTTTAAGACTAGTTTGTGCATGTGTGTGTGTTGTACGTGTGTGGTATTTAGTCATCATGTAATTCATATTAATGGGGTCTTTACATATTCTTAATTGGACATTAGTTTAAGATCACTGGGGTATGCAAGCCTGAATTTATGTAAAATAGATAAAAGTTGTAACAGATGGGAATAATGAAATTTTAATACACTTTAATGACCGTGTTGACATGGGACTGCTAGCTTTTAAGTGTAGCTGAAAAGCTGCTAAAGACTAAACTTTTTGCTTTGTATGAAGCTTGTAAATGATCTGGGATCCATCACCCCAAGCAAAGAGTTGCTTTTCTTTAGGATTGTAATGTATAGTAGAATGGCTACCCTGACGTTTTGGAAAGTGCAATACTGGGATTTCGTAAGTATTTACAGCATCCAAAACGTCATAAACACATTGTATGCGAGAGGTGCCTCCACTGGGAAAGTTGTAGACAACATAGAGTGTGTTGCATGCCATGAAAGCTGCTTCAGCATCCTTGCTATTGCATGATGTGTCCCAAGTGTGCTCTACTGCCATGGTTATGTGGTTAATTTTAGTAATTACAATGTTTCCTCCAGTCTCTGGTTCTGCATGGATTGCCCAGAGCCCTTGCTCATCAATGGCAAGATCTATTTTTGTAGACGGAGAAAGCTGATAGGCAGGAATCCTTCCAGCCCCTGGCAGTAGCATTTGGTCAGCTGTATTTCTTTTCTGGATATTGAATTTAATTATCTCATTTAAGGAGCCATATCTGTGATAGAAGAGGAAACCCTGATATATGATGTGGCCAGTTCCTTCCCAGGGAAATGGCAAGGTGACTCTGCGAGCTTTTAGTGTATGATTGCTTTCCATGAATGTCATGATATTTGCAAATTCCAAAATAACATTATTTACAGAACCATTTAATAAATAAATCTTTGTGTGCTTTTTGCCAGGATCTTTCATCCAAGAGCCATGCTTATCTCCAGTCTTCTTAACTATCTTTAGGGACTTAATACCTGCAAGCATGTGGTCACAACCTGCAAGGAAACACCCAAAGAAAAAAAATATTAGAATATCTGTGAATTTTCTAGTTTCCTTTCTTTGAATAACTTAGATTCCTTTTAATGCAGCCATAAGGCCAGGGTCAATATATCAGTAAAGGTGTCAGCAGCGTGGCTACTGTAAGTAGTGTTGAACCTAATTTTATATGATACATTCAGTGTCTCCTGCTAAGAAAACTGCATATCTTCAGCTACACATAGTGTGTTGTTTTCTGCTCTATTAGACCAGTGTTATCCGAAAGGGATTCTATTTGTGTACCTGAGAGGAGACCAAGAGCACAGTTAGTGATTCTATGGTTATTCTTTTCAGTTCTTTTACAGGGCTGTAATTTTTACTTCAGAGAAGTGACTTCTGTTCTAGATCAACACAGTCAAAGAATCAAATTTATTTCTTATTGAAGGCATACAAATTAAAATCTATTTTCCTGATACACCATGTGTATAGTATTTTTGTTTCAGGAATTCTCTTATCCTCTGTTAGCCTCTTTTTTCTGCATTTATAATATAAAGACAAATAAAAAATAGATCATCATAACTGAAAGCCAAAACACTGGGTTATCTTCCCATTCCCCTTCCCAACACCTGCAGCACAAAGCAACTAGAACAAATATATATATCACAAAATCGGGAATGGTCATATAATAAGGTGGTCTTTAAATGAACTGGTATGATGTCTGTGTTATCAATTCTTATGCTAGAAGCATGGCTGGTGGAATTACATAGTTGTTTACCTCACTATAGGGATAAAATTGGCACCAGCAGAGAGCGAGTCATAGTTTTGACTTCATTATGTTTTGTATGTGCTTTGCATAGATGTTTTAAGACCACAAAGCACCAAGATTGTGAAGACTCGGGCATTTAGACGCCAAGATCTTTATCAAGTACCATCATTTCCAGGAAAAACTCTACTGCAAAGCATATTAACAAGTTTGTTTACCAAAGGCACTCATAAATTACAAGAGACACTATTTGAAGTTTAAAGAATTGCCTTTAGTGAAGTGCAGCCATTTTAGTAAACAGAACAAACAAAGCCCTAAGGCAGGAAGCTCTGGCAGTAGATGAAATGGAGAAAGCAAAACCAGCCTCCCTATTTGGCCTGATATGAACCTAATGAAGTCAGTGGCAAGACTCCAGTTGCCTGTAGAAGGCAACCTTTATGTCACTTGTGTGTACTGATACCCTCTAACCAAAACATTTGGATATTGCTGCTACAGCATGGATTTTTTTTCTTGGAAGTCCTCACTCTGAATGCACCTTCCTTGAGCAAGCCACAATAGCTTTCCCAAAACTAACATTTATTGATTAGAGAGATTCTAAAAACTTAAAACTATTGAATCAAAATACCTAGCCAGCCTTAGCAACATCTTCCTCTGCAGGAGAAATAACCAGATCACTATCTGAAATCTATGAACAGTGTCTGTCTTCTTGAGTGAAGTTTTTTAACTCTCCTTGGCTTTCATAACAGCTTGGAGGAAGACTGAGAAACTGAGACATTCACAGTGAGCAAAAAGTTTACCAAAATTTTTCCACATTCTCCACAATGATACCTTCAAAACCCACTGTTTCTTATCATACCCCCAAATGTGCAGAAGATAATTTCCCCTTTCCCAACCAAAGCAGGATGAGGTATCAACTGCTGCATGTAAAAACAGTGATTCTACTTGATTGTTATTTTCAAGTCTCTGTGAACCTGAACCAACACCAGTAACAAAGTTGGACTTAAAAACCCATATTTTTGCTAGAGCTTTGGAGTGACTCAGCAAAAATAATTGTAACTTCTGGTTAATATATGATATAATAGAAGCAGAGCTGCTATTTGCTAGAGTTGAGGGTCTTGCTGCTTTTCCTAAGTGCTGTAAAATCTACACAGGTACTAGTTTTGCCATCAACTTCAATGGGACAAGCATCTGACTCGTATTGACAAAAGCAGAGTAGCTATGAACTGCTTCAATAAAATTAAAAGTAATAATTTCCAACAAGGGAAAATAGAAAGTAATTTTTCCCCTGTGAAACTCTCAGAAAGATATAATTTCCAAAGTGTCCTTAACACAGTCAGTTTAAAAATCCCCAAATTTTTCTGCCTCTCAAAAAAATGCTTAATGTTCAAAAAAATCCATATATGGAAAAAGGAAAGCTTGATATTCAGAGCACTCAGTTGTGGTGTAGGATTAGAGCTTAGAAGCAGGATAGGTGATTTCTTCTGTTACCATCTGCCTTAATACTCTTTTGCTGGAAAGGTTCAAGGAACAAACTGTAAACTTACTTGTAAAATTAAATCAGTCTAATTCTGTTGAAGTTAGTTGTATAATTGATGATGCTAAAGATCTTTCACCTGGCTTTTTAAAAAATGGTAGTTTATAGTATTGTTTATTGTTTATTTTTCATTTCTTACTACTTTTGAATGAAAAGGAAACAGACTACTTCAAATATGTCTACAATATGTAATTTACATCTATAACTCAACTTTCTTAAGGTAAAGATACTTAAAACTATAAAACTCAATTTATTTTAAAAAAAGTATAGATTGTGTCTATATTCTTCATACTAGGTACCTTAACACTTAATTTTCAAATCAGAACTGAGCTTTGCTTGCAGCTAAGCCAATGTGCTCTCTTGATAAAGTACATGGAGGGGAAAGGGAGAGAAAGAAAGAATAACAGATGAGGACAGTAAAACAGATGCAAATTGTAGAAGTGAATTAAGTCTTTTTATTAACTCGTGAGTTCACTTTTGAGTTGGGGTTTTGACCCCTGCCCACTCCGAAAAGCAAAGACCACCATTAATTCTTGGTATAGCTGCAATACTCAGAAATGCACTGGCATTTTTTTCTGGGACTTTGCGAGAGCATACCTTCAGAGGCTTTTTACATTACTTTATAATAAAAAGCAGCTTCCAAAGAATCAATTTGATATGCAGTAGAGTATCTGCAAAATAAATGTTTGAATTGTACTTTCTTCCCTCCCTCTCCCATACCTTTTTTGTAGTTTTTTTTGTTTGTTTGTTTGTTTTTTAAAGTCTAGTATTTACACAGCCAAAACCCCATGCAATTATCTGTGGTATTCACATAACTTGTGAAAATCTGTTATCCCTATATCAGCATGCATGCATTGGCTAAGGGACTGGCTCATTCACAGCACAGTTCTGAAAAGTAAACTGTTCTTACTTGCATTAAGCATGAGTTTAAGTTTCTTTTTTTCTTCTGCTTCTTCAAATAGCTGCTGTTTCACCAGGTCCTCATGTACTTCTATACATGTATTAGAATCTGTGACAGATCCAAAATAGTCAATGTCCCTTTGTGCTCGTTCAATTCTTGTTAGCAAATTCTCTACTTCACTTTTAACCTCAGCCTTATAATTGTTCAGTCCTGCCAGGCGTGACAGTACCATCTTTGAAAAGTCTCGGAATTCTTCCACGTAATCCAGTATGTCTTGGTTGCATTTTTCCAGCCTCTTCTTGAGTTAGAACACAGGAAGAAAATACATGGATATACGTGTATATTCTCTATAGATTACAACCTCATTCATGATTACTTTAAAGACCATGCTATTCTCTCCTTTCCAGTCCCCCTGCCCCCCATCTCTTTCAAACCGATCGTCTGTTGCTGTGTATCTAAGTGAAGAGGACATATTAGACTGGCACTAGCATTCGCAGTTCTGGACAAAAATACACTTTTTTATTCTTGGTGTGGTTACTGACAACCAGCTGCTTTGTTTTGCTGCCTAAAGAGGGAAAAGTGTTCTGGTGGAAACAGCCAGAGATACTTAAGGGCACATGATCTCTCATTACTTGCTTTCCAGAAACTTTTCAGAACTCCTCCTGTAGGACCACTGGTGAAGTAGTCTCAAAAAGTTTTCTGCAGGAAATCTACAAATGTGAACGTTTCACATAAATACACCTCTTCTGACCAAGACAGTATCTAGTGTGGCTATTTTTCATCCATTTAAAATGGAAAATGGAAATACTGACATCTCTATGTTTGAGAAGGTTTGGGTTTTTTTTGTCAAATTGTTGGCTGTATTTTAAAAAAAAAAACAGTTGTTTCTTTATACCTAGATCCAAATTATCAACATTTTTAAAGGTGAGGAAAGTGGCTTCTCTGTTGTAACACAGCTGCTTGTGTAAAGATCATAAGTGGCCTGAAAATAGAAGCCCAACTGCCACTTTGGGAAGATGAGGAAATTGAGCCAGTATTTAAGCCCAAACACACAATTGTAGTAGATCTAACTGCTAGACTGGGTGTTCTGATTTGGTGCTTTATGCACAGATTTCAGGTGTTTTGTTTTAAGGTGGTGTTTGGCTAGGAGATGTCCGAGTTTACTGAATGATTAGTGCAGTATGCATGTGTTCTGTGTAAACTTGGTGGTGGTGGTCTGTTTGTTTTGTGAGGTGTGGGTTTTGTGTGTGCCCTGCCTCATTAATATGTGCCCCCCCCCCCGCCCGTTATACATGACTGTAAGTCCCCAGGAAGCAGTTGAATTACTTTCTACAAAAACTTTATTTTAAATGTTTTCAAGTGTTCTCTTCAATACCTGCCTCACCCTTTTTCCTGTTCTTTCTTAGGTGCGCCTTGCACCAAATGTCACAGGTAGAATTGCATCATTTTTAATGGGCCAAAGGAATGGAAATTACCATGTGAAGTTATTCCTACAGTGGCTAAGAAAATTTAAATCTAAGTCTACACAATGGGAACAGAATACCAGGCTAGTCCTTCAGTTCCTCCTGTGTTGTGCAGTTAAGACCAGTGAGAGCTTTGTACAAAAAGGGAATGCAAGCTCAGGCAAGTTAAAGCTTCTCTAAAAGTCGGCCGATACAAGTCAGGAGCCAAGGACATGTTAATGATTTACGATAAACTATGTATGATTACAGCATGCCAATACTGAAAAGGTATTTTGCAGTACTGGTAGTTTTTTACTGCAGAAAAAGAAGCAGGTACTGGTACTTTTATATAATTAATTGAAAGCAAACACCTATTTCAGTCTTCCAGCTGTAAGGGGGTTATTTCAACTCCTAGTTAAAATGCAGATACACTGCTAGTTTACACAAATGTGTCTTGAACTACTCTTTCTGGTAGGTTCATCTGTACATAGGAAAAATACCTGATAAATTTCTATCTCCTTGTTAAAACTTGACTGCATTTCTACTGGTGACAATATGGTTATACTGTTCCCTAGGACAGACAGTGACAGTACTGTAAACATTTGCATATTTAGCTAAATCCACTGAAGCTGTAAAAAATTGCAAGTGTATATATATAACATATATATATATAACATTATGAAATTATATCCTGCAACAAATAATGATGTGGTAATTAGGAATCATTGTAGTTAAAGGTTTAGCTACAATTTTACTTATTTACTTGAAAAAGCTGGAAATTTATCTTCCTGGTATTGTTTATCATACAAACTGTTCTGTGTTCAGACACACAGAAGAACATTCATACATTTTCAAACCTCTTTGCAGTTAGGCAGTATTACAGAATGATACAGCTAGCACATACCTCTAAAGATAGGAAACGCCGGTCAATGTAGTTCATCAGTGCTGCATCTTGCATCATATATTGTGCTGTTCCCATGACGCTTGTGAGGAATGGAACTAAGAAAAATCGAAGTTGCAAGACTACCATTGTTTCATAAAATTTTGAAGCAAAATAGTAGTGAATTAATTGTGTGTGTGTACGCGTGTGGAGGGCAATCCCAAACACTACTGCCAGTCCAGGATTAAATGAAATTTAACAGTTGTCTGATACCGTGATGTGGAAAAGTAATACTAAAAATAACTAAAAAATTAAAAATACTGTTGCTGCAAGTATTAAAAAGACTTCATATGGCTGTTGCAGTTTATCATTAAAAAAATAAAGTGGAAGAGGAACTGAATGTGTTTATTTGTAGAAGCCAGATGACTGCTTTCCAGTTTGTGATCCTATGATCAATCCCAGATGTTCAGTACTGAGTCACATAAAGCCTGGATGCCAAATTTTATTAAATAAAAATAAAAATCATTTATTTCCCCTCCTTTCTCCTCCCATCTGCTTTCCCGTGTGACCAACACTGTGCAGTATGTACTTGGTGAAAGTCAGCATAGATTCAAAGTCAGTGGAGCACTGGTCATCCTTTCACAGGAAGATCTGATGCATAATGTCTGTAGCTATTTCAACAACCACAGCTGTTACTGTAAAAGAATCTAAAGCAATTGTTTTCACTTGCACTATTCAGCCTATTTACAGTAGGACTGAAAACCACAGATAAAATTATTTAAAAAAAAAAAATCTTTTTCCTTCCCCTTCCTCTCTTCTCTTGCTGGTACTTTTCCAGCTAAAATCAATACCCTTAACACAGTTCTGTGTCAATTTAATGGAGTCCTTGATAGGTCTCTTGTCTCAGAAAAATAATTCTACTTAGGATGACTTAAAAATTAATTACAATTAACTTACATGAACCTATTGCATTTGAGGCAATTTTTATTTATGCTTTTTCATAGTTTCCATGACTGAATGCCTTGTCTGGAAACATACGTGGCTATGCTAACATTGTATTCACTAGGAAACGATGTGTTAGGATGTTAGAAAGCTCCCTTTGTATGTGAAGCCAAATGGGATGTCTCTATTTCTCTTTCTCAGAATTCTCCACCTCTTCACTCCCCCCCCCCCCCTTTTTTTCCTCTACTTTTTTTTCTGACATTTACACAGTTTTCCTTTTCTTTCTGCCTTGTGCATAAGCATGTGACTTGTGACAGAATTCAGGAAAATGTGTCATAGCAGGCAGATTTTTACCTCCATTTGCTTTATTGCTGCGAGGTACAGTTATATGTGCTTTATAGAGAAATTTCACAGAAGCGCACAGATAAGTATTTTTTCTTTTAATATTGCTTTATCCTAAGAGGCCTAAACAATTTGCCATTTCCTATTTACAGGCAAAGTCAGTGATGCACCGGGAGGCTAATACTTCATTCTCCACTCCAGTGTCATTTCACTTTACTCCAGAACTCCTGCCTGGGAAGATGGAAAGCTTGCCTGCTTGCATCCTTGAAGGATTATGCACTGAGGACAGACACCCTAGGAACTGTATAGTCTTCCTTGATTATGTCGTATGGAAATCCTTGACAAAGTGTGCTGTTTTCTTTCCCACAAAATAATCAGCTTCAACACTGGGGAAGAACACAGAAAAACAATCCCTTTTCTAACCTCCTAGGTAAACCTGGAATCCTTCAGAGTTGTTCTCTGAGTTTAGTATGTCTATTACAGTAGCCGAAGGTAATGATCAGGAGACGAAGACTATGGGAGTCAATAGGTTAATTTCTTCATTTAGTGGAGGGAGAAATCATATCTGTGTAAAAATCTGTCATGGTTTGCCTGCCGTTTGGAACATGCTTGACTTAAGTTATGACTGAAAGTCCTATCTTAAGGTAACATGAAGCAGCAACTTCACTTTATGACTTTTAATATTCTTTTTCATTGCAGTCTGTAGTCTAGGTTGACATCTAAAATAAGGCAGTAGTCTCTCTGGAGAATTTTATTGGAGTATGTCAGAACATCAGTTATAGCAGAACTCCTTACTGAAAACTTTTCCTTAGAAGGGGTATTACAGGTTGTGTCTGAATTTTTGATAGTTACAGACAATTCTTCAGACTTCACTAGATGAACAATACCATTTCTCAGTTTTAGAGCAACCTTATTTCTGTTTGAATCCAAACCACCTAAGCAAGTAAAATACCCTAAGCAAAATATTACAAACTTACTATCAAGAAAGCATACTTAAAAGTCAGGATATAGATATATAATTTCTTTCCTTCGTCTTAAAACAGGGACAAATCATCTACAAAGAAAAATATCTTGAACTGCTAAACATCCTGTAAAAGCTTAAGCATGCTGTGTAAGAATCTGGATTTTGTAATGTTGCTCCATCATTTCTTAGAATTGCCAGCAGCTGAAAGACCAGAAGGTTCCAAGGATTTCTCTTAATAAGACATTCCCATGCTTATTAAACCATAATTTCATTGTAAATGGCAATGATGGTCCATGTCAGATGCAGTATTCAGGGAGGACATGCTATAGCATCTGGTTAAGAACTGAGCTTTTTTGGTTTGTTTTGTGTTTTTTTTTTCTTTAGTTGTTATATATTTTCCAGTTCTGTTCTGCCTATATATATACACGTTTTTTATGTTGTTTTTTTTTTTCCTCCAGCTACATATTAACTGTATATGTAATGAATATATATATATATATATTTATGGTAGTGATTTAAAGCAGGAGTGCTTGGCATACCTGGGAAGACATTGTTATCAGTGCACGGGATGTTACACACTAACAGAGCAGAAAGATTTTCTCATCTCAAGGAACACTTTTTCTCTTGTGAACTACTCCTAGAATAGGTTTCCTGTCACTATCTTGATGTGACAGACAAACCTCTAAAAGAAAACAAGTATGTTGATGTAAGTGTATATGCTTTTTCACTGTTCCTGTCCTTCTCTCTCTGGGTAAGATGGTATTCTTCTCTTGTCAATGCTGCTTCTTTGCTGCACTTATTCCACCTTTTTACCTTTTGGTGTCTCTGTTTTGACAGCTGTTTGAGGTTTCCAAATGAAAAATGGGCATTTTCAGCTCCTCATCTATGTTGGTGGTTTGATTTCAGATACTAGATGGAGTTTTCTGTGTTTTAAAAGGGATGTTGAAATCAGTTCAGAGCAGATACTAGATTTGGGGAAAAAATTACATTTCTTTAAGATATTATTTCACTCTTATACCATTGCATGCTATGTGGGTTTTGGTGGTTTTTTTTGTTTGTTTTTTTTTTTAAGTCAGTTTCTTTCTGGCATTTCAGTTGGTAAAACTAGAGCAGTGCCACAATAAGTCAGGCTCTGGAGCAGTTTGCAGCACTCTATGGTACCTGCAAACCCTGTTATAGTCAAGGGGAATGTGTGTAAACTGTAAGTTTACTTCTTCGCAGAAACTCATTTCTCCATCACACTCATGGTGGAGCAATCTTATCTATCATTAGATAGGACCTCAGCCATAGAGACTTTGAGATTATGGTTCAAGGCACTTCCTTGCCTTGCCTGAGATGAGTCTCTCTGATTTGTCACAATCTCCAACTCTTCCACATCACTGCCATAGCTTCCTGTTCCAGGTCTTCTTCAGTGCTTTGACTTGCCTCCAGTCCCACTGTGGCGTCTTGTAGGCATGCCTTAGTTCCTCACAGGAATCATGAAATATGTTTGTTGTCCCATGACTGCCATAAACACATAAACCACACTGTGTCATTGCTGGGTCTGTCCATGTCTGTGACTCTAGTAGACTCACAGAGTGCTCTGTAAACCCAGCCTGACATTTTTCTTTCTGAGCTTTGGAAACTTCCCTGACTCTCAAGCTTCCTCACCATTCTTCCTTGGATTTTACTGAGCAATGGATGCTCTCCTAATTCCATGCCCTATGTTATTACAATCCTGAAAAAGGTGGGAAGCCCATACTCCTGTCGCTTAGATCTATGTAATACACATATACATATATATTGGATTTTACTCCTGAAGTCCAGACTGTCTTAAAACAGGGTTGATTATGTTTTTCATCTTTAGGTAACCTCTACATTAAAGCAATATAGATAGATGAAAACATCAGACACATAGTCTGAATTACAGCTTTCCACATTACTGACTTTATACACACATGCATTAGAATAACTGCTACTCAGCCTGATGCATCAGTGATACATCAGTGGAGGTGTGCCTTGTGGTTTTCCATCTCATGATCAAATGTGTTACAGGCAAAACAAGAGGAAAAGAGATAACTATCTGAAATAATGGGATTCTGTTTGTAATTGCAATTTTGTTTAGTTTATGGTTGCCTAATTTGGTAGGTTTTGGCTCTGATGAATCATAATGGTGTTTTATATTAGTAATATGTAGTGTATCATTGTCTTCTTGTGTATTTTCTAATTTTGTTCAGACTCGGGTCTACAGAATTAAGTTCCTTGATAGTACTGGCCACTACCTGATGAGGTGGTCTAATGCTGAGATCTGTGAGGTTAGAAAATATTTTTGTCATAGTGGGAAATCAACACAATTCCAATTCTGCCTTATTTTTTTTAAACCACTTTCAGTTTTGTACCTTAGAGAGTGATTCACATTTCTGTAAAAGAGACAAACCTATGAAATCCAACTGAAGTCTTTATGTGGTGTTCCGCTATAAGAACAGTGTGGGGAGTGATACCAATAAGGAATGTAATGTAATACACTGTGATAGAAAGGAGACTTCGCTGAATTTTGGGATTCAGACAGGGGCCTCCACTAGGCGGCTCTCAAGTCCTTAGAATTGAAAGGCAAACTTCACTGAAACACACCATTTCCAAACTCTCTGAATGAGAGAAAACATACAGAAGGAAGTATGGTTCAGGTGGTCCAAAGTGATAGACACACGAATGGAAAGTTATTAGCAAGCCAGGTTCTAGTAGGCTTTAGCAATCTGCTACTGCAGTGGCAAGCTCACAAACGTTAAGGGTCTGTGTCTTCCAAAATGGTGAAAGCCAGCGCTTCCTGGAATCGCGAAAGCTTGAGATGTCCAGTACCTGCAGGAAAAACTAATAATCTCATGAGGACTGGCTTTAAAAATGAAATCACAAAGGCAAAATGAAT